TAATGATTAAAAGTGCTGCAATATTTCAATTTACTTTGCTCTAGCTGTACCACTGACGATTATAACTTGTTTCCGTGAGTGCTATGAAGAAAATCAGGGCACGATAAAATCATAGATGTGAGGATGATCCTTGAAAGTGATAACAGCTGATAAGAACTGATAAGGAATGACACAAGTGGGCAATGGAATCACTGCTGTTTTTTACAATTTCTAGTTTCCATGAGTGATATTGGAGAAGATTGGACAGAAAAAGTGAACCCGGCTTCCTATTCAATCGGGTGTCCGTTGGTTTCCGGGATGTTTCTCGAAATGTTGACTTTAGTTAAGAACCGGTAGTTGCGTCGTGTTGTATAGTGGTCAGATGTAGAGAATAAATTCTGGGCTCTTGGGAATTTTGCAAAATTGAAAAAAATGTGACAACTAAGGGGAAAAAATTTTCCTGCCAAAGGGAATGTTTTCGCTGAAGGATAATTTCTTCGGATTCCTCAAATTTTCATTTCGATCTGCCGAGTGCTGCTGCTAACCAGTAGGCTCCGAAAAAGTGGTCCCCTCATCATTACTCCAAAAGAGACTTTAGATCACAATTTCCTTGAAAATCAGTTTCGGTTTTGTGGATTTTATGGCGAAACACGGTTTCAAGGTGAGGCTTGTACCACAGTATTCAAAAAGAACAAAAAGGCCTCATTTAGGTTTGTGCACTTTCTTTCAAGCTCAACCTAAGTGTCACGCAACGTCGTTTCATAGGTCCTAAAAGGTCAGTTGATTGTCCCGGGAATCCGAATTCCATTCCCATTTGTTATCTGATGACTGGAGGTCATGGCATTGGCTTTGGTTTCACTTGGACATTATAATTTAAATGCATGAAAGCAATGCTTTATTCCGTAGGTTCCGTTAGGTTGACGGAGTAGGTTGACGGAATGGAGAGTAGTTTATGTACGTCGTTCCTGGCTACAAACTTCGCTGGGCACTCACTGAGCGAAGGCAGGACTCCACGGGAACTCCAACGCAGAAGACGTGCTACAAAGGAGACTTCTGTGAACTACTGTTAACTTCATTTGCCAAAGAAGTGCGAGGTCATAGTTCTTCTGCAGTACGTCTACTGTTCCAGAGAATACTATGGAACCTGGCCCTTGTCCGAAGGGTTCTCTTGAGATGGGGAAGGGAGTCTTCTTGACACTAGGGGGAGGTGGGAGTATGTGAACCCTTCTATCACCTTTGAAAACCCGGAATCAGATGTAATTCTATGGTCCTTCGGTAATGTTCTGGGACAAAAGATTTCCCCTCAACCTGGCTATGAAAATTTGCTCGAAAAAAACTAAAAATTGGTTTTGCCAGATTGAGAGTCGATATTTTTTAATACTCGTAATGTAAGAGTCAGATTATTTTTCTTTTGTATCCTGATCCGGCTTAATCTTTATCTGTCTTTATCTTTATCCCCACCCTGCTGACTAAATGGAGAAAAACATGACGTCAACGAAGTAGGAACTTCCACCTGAAGTAACGTGGAAATTAGGAAAATAGGGAAGAAAAGAAAAAAGGAAAGGCATGGGCAGAAGAGGGTACATCCCTTGAAGCCTATTGGAAGAGGGTCTGTCGAAGAGCACTACAATGATTTACAGTCTAAATTTAACATATGTGTATGCCATTTCATAAGAATTGAACAATTAGGTGAACAAATGCATAATTCTGAACCCCCTCCTCTTTTGCTTCCTCACAGTCTTGTTCATTTCTTAATCTGTCTCACTTTAAAGTTCCACTTTGAAAGCATTGTCCTTGTTCTATTGAGCACGTCACTATTTTGATGTTCACTTGAACAATTTGACGGCTTTAGCTTATTTACACATCTAGTATGACCGCTACCTGGACAAACATTGGTGATGACACACTTTTTTGATGGTTTCAAGGAATGGGACTCCAGTAATCAGGCGGTTCAGCTTCAAATTTTTTTGGTTCCGCCATGCCAGGAGTAAGTTTGGGGAAAGCCTCTCTTAAAAATTTAGAGTCAGGAAAACTGATGAGGAAGGATTCCGGTTCAATTGGTTTTTTTCTGAAAATTTACGACTCCTTGTCTCAGCTGCAGCTTAATAGCTGAAACGATCTGAGCGATAAGAACCCGGAAACCCCCAGAGAACACCCAAAATGACGGCAATTCAGATTTGTTGAAGCCATTGGCCCAGGCAGCTGGATGCGGCTAATTTTTACCGTCTCTCTGGATGCGGGTATGTGTGCACGTACTTTTACGTGTGTGTCTGTGAGTACGCGGAAGCTGTGAAATGGACGTGTGGATGAGGGAGCAGGATAGGGTAACACAGGTGTGTAAATATAGATGAGCGTTCGGTATCTTTGAGAGAAAACGCCCACCCCCAGGCACCCGAAAATCCCTGCATCATCGCCCGTTCTGGCTTGTGACGAGCCTCCGATATCAGTTTTCATGTTAACGACATGTGTTTGCTCATTGTGTTTTCACGTTAGACGGCTCCTACCGTGGGATCCTGTGAGAATGGGGGTGTCCCCAAATAGGTGATCGAAGAGCTCTTGTCCGGGAAAAAGAGAAAGATCCGTTATTTCCAAATGCTTCTCTCATCCGGACTTCATTGGATTACTCTACACTTTTAGCTCTCTGATGTNTGTCGTCGTCGTCGTCTCAGCCGTCCCGGCTCCTCTTCACTCCTCACACCGGGGCACAGCTAATCGCTTCGCTCTTCCCCGACCACGTCACTGCCAGCCAGTCACTCGTTGTTCTCATTTCAGAGCGAGCCTCACCGATTCAATCACGATGTCAGTTTGAGACGTCCTCGTCGTCGAGTCGGACTGAGCGCCGTCAACGGCTCACTAGAAACATTTTTGGGAAGGTTCGGGGATCCAACGAAAAAGCTACATATCGATTTCTCATCACTGCTAACACCTAACGGGTTCTAATTATTTATTCATTCTGTCGGATGCAAGCATCCGGAAGTAATCAATTACTTCCAAGTGTAGCTCGCCTTTCGTACCTAAAAGGGCACATCCCATATCGGCCAACATTTGCATACCTAATCACACCACAGAATTGATATACAGTCAAATTTTTTCAAAATGTACGTACCATATTGGTACTTTCGCTGAACTACTCGAAATGAAGCCACCCTCATCGCTTTTCTCCTAAAGTCTCCTACAGCACTATATACAGTTTTCAGCAAGATCGAGGTCACCTAATTGCAAATTTGCCTAATTCACAGCTTCCTACCTCTGCAACCCTCTTGCGGCAGCTCCGCCCTTAGAGATAGCTCCGCCCACACGCGAATATTGGGGTTTACAAGCATGGGACCTTATTATTGATGCTTATTGTTTATTTTTATCAAAAACTGCTAGGGTAATAGTAGATCTAATTCATTTACAATATTATAATGATAATATAAAAATAATGGTAACGTATCCCCAAAGTAATGGCAATAATTGCGATACTTTTGTAGGTATTGGCCTTATGTCATATCGTCCATGTAACATGTTCATTACTCAGATCAAATCCCAAATCAAATTCTGTTCGAATCTAGCAGATGCTCTATTTTTCGGAGATGGTTAATTTAAATAATAATTTTTGATTTATTTTTAATGATTTTAGTCCCACTTGGAAGTCCTAGGAGAGTTTGATTGAAATGAGTCTCATTTGGGGAAACTTAGAAGAGCTTTTCCACTCCGTCTCCCTACCTGCATGTGTGAGTCAACCGTGCAATCGTCATTACAGTTCTCAGAGGAACTGAAGGCATGGCTCATTCTAATAAGGCCTAAAAACCTATTTTTTCTGCTTGATTTTTTCTTGAGGTGTGGCTGACAGTGAAAGAAATGGACTGATTTGATGCGAATGTCACTGCTTCCCCATAAAACCAGTATTACAGCGCTACCGAGCTCTTGTTGTGCCAATGAATTCTATTTATATTAATTTCCTTATTTTTTTGTTTTTATAAGTTGATATTCATTTATTTTTTTCCTTTGTTACTTCAAGATGACTTCGAAGGTGCTATATTTACGGAGGTTGAGGACCTAAGCTCACGGCAAATTGACAAACATATTCATGGATGTTTGCTGGCCGAATAGTTTAGAATTTATTCGTTTATATTTATTTATATTGATTGTGCTTGTATTTACGAAAATTTACCACAATTTCTCTAGAATTAATTATTTTGTTTACGATTGGTCGATTTGAAAAAAGCACTCAAATTCTTAGACCTTCTCACAGGGCAGGCTCGGCTCTCAGTCTAATTGTTGGGGTGGGGTTTCTAATTTCAAATCTATGGTGAGCTGCCGTTTTTGTGGCGATGTCTACAATCAGTAGCCTTTGCAACGTTTTTCAACGAATGCTGGCGAGTATTCTAAAGGAAAAGTGTCCAACAATAGAATTATTCTGTGAATGGCTGTGGCTTATTAGATTTTTTCACATTTTCAGAAGGAAAAAACTCGAAATCTCAAGGCTTTCCGAAAAAGCCCAATTTTTATGTAAGAAAATTGGGTTGCGGTAATTTCCGGTCGTTCGTGAAANGATGTTTTCGTAGGGGCATAGTACAATCATTCATATTTATAAGGCATGGGCAGGCCGTCCGTACTTTTTCGTTTTTCGGGTTAACTTGTAACCTTCTACTTGAGATTACACACAGAGTTTTCACTTCTCAAATTACTCTACCTATTGATTTTTGTTATCTCTTCGTTCGGCTAGCGTGCTGAGGTGGTACTCGTCGGCTTTGCTTTATCCTTATGGAAGGGAACTGCCGCCCACCCGCATGCCCGCTTACTTCTTCTCCCGCTTACTCGTCATCATCATTGGCCATTTATTCGCTCATCAATGCAGCCTCCTTAACCAACATCCATAGCCTTTCTCTAACTCTCACATTCCTATACATCTCCTTCATCCGGGTCTTCTCCGACCCAAATCAATCCATTTGTGCATGTCTGTATGTATCGTGGGCTCCCAGATTCATCCAAACTGATGTCGCTCAATTTCAGATGAGCTACGGTAACTGGTTAAAATGTTAGGCGAAAGCAACGCATCCTCGCTGTATGCATTCGCATCTATGTTGGATACATCCGACGACAGCCCGGCGACAGTCGGCGACAATTTGTCGCCATCGTTCGCTGCTTCCAACAATTCACTACAACCGTTTATGGAATCAGTAACATTGGCTGCCGTATTACTATTGCTGATACTCGCTTGTGTTATCGGTAACCTGTTGGTCATCGTTGCTATAGCCTGTGAACGCGATTTACGCGGTCGACCACAGTACTATCTGATATTCTCGCTTGCTGTCGCCGATCTTATCGTGAGTTTATACTTTTTCTGATTGTCGTGCGGAAGATGTTATTGCTATCTGACGCGTTTTTTCTGGTTTATGATCATCCATAGAGTATGACGAGGTCACAAAAGAAACTTGAAAAATTAGGTTATAGTATTGGCCATGTGGTCGATGGTCATTGAAAAGTGTTTCTACGATTTCGTAGCGATCTATCCGCAAATAGATTTATCCAAGAAGCTTTGAAATCTAGTCTCCAGCCCTCTTCTAATTTGATTTGCCCTCAGCCCGCTGCTCGATGTCGCCGCAACTTTTCGCCAACGCACAGTTTCTTTGTGTAGAGTTTTAGGCGAAACATCATGAACGTTAAGGAGATATTGAGATGAGGATAGAAATTAATTATTTAAAAACATGCAAAATGAAATATAAATGAAAATAGATATTGGAAGAGTAGCTTTTCTAGTTGGCAGCTCAAAAACTTGATCGTTATAACCCGAGGCGTTGGTTTCCTTCCTAACTACATAGACCTGCCAGATGATGTAGACATTTCCCAGCCCCTCTAGATCGTTTGAAGCCGATACAGCCTTTTTGGGTTGCCTAGCGTTATCGAGCCGGCTCGGTAGGCGCGCTTCAATTCTACAGAGATCCTAGCGTGAAAATCAGGTCCCCGGACCAATCCATTCTTTACCCGAATGAGAACGATAAAGCGCTTGGCACACTTTGGCTTTTGGATACGCCAAGTTTCTGCACTTCCTCTAGAATCGTCGTGGCCTGTGAATGCACGGTTGCTCAGTTGCCTTGACTTTCAAGAAGCAGCCCTAAACGGTTCACCCATCTGGTACCACTTAAATCATAGACTTGAAAGCTTTGTTATACGGCAGGGAAGACGTGGCAGGAGGACTTTCTGGCCAGCAGGGGTGTCCGGGCCATACCCGTGGGAAGCCTGCTATTATTCTTATTCGCTTTACTCTATTTTCAATTCATCACTCGACTCGCTTTCAATTAATTGTGCGCTTCATGAAGAGAACTTCCGGAAGTTCATTTTGAGGACTATTCTCTTTATTCAGAAATGGCCCCGCTCCCTCATTTTAGGGCTTTGTGCAGTTTTATTCATTATTTGATGGGAAGTGTTTTGATTTCCGGGAAAATTGAGAAAGGAAGGAAAGCTTACTGTAATCGACGCCATCGGGTGTACGGAGATATTTCGCTATTATTTACTTGAATAAGTCCCCGAGAAAACCGAGTGGGGCTTGCAATGGGCTAGCAGGTACCACCAAAATCTCTGATATCTGGAACCATTTGAATTTTTTCCAAGTCATCTTCTCAAACGTCTGCACAACTGAACGGAGGTGTTTCTCGCTCGAAGAACTTGCTATGTATGGAAAGCAATAATTAAGTTGGCGATTCTTAGGAGAAAACGACAGGGGGATTATCTCGTGACAGAAGCCGCAGTCATTCACGTGTATGTATGCATATAGTTCAACTGTCCTCTTAGAAAATCGGGATGTTCCTCTAACGAGATCCTACTTCCTCGTCAGGACGCTCTATTTAACAAATTGATTAACGAATATCGTTTACTGCAACTACCCAAGTCCCTTCCCATTCCCTTCTTGATCATTGGTAAGTGGGAGGGCTGCATAAAGTTGGGAAATGATAGCTGAGTTCTCATGAAACACCCGAAATCGGCAGAGGGAAGAAGGTAGTGTCATCAGGGATTTGAGCAGCTAGAGATCTTCTGGAAGACGAGAAGTTCTGCCTGTCCGTTGAGGTTGGTAGGTGGAACCACTTGCCGGAAGTGGTCCCTGGACGACCTATGGTCGGTCCGACTCATCCTTTTCCCGTCGTGTGCAGATCATTTGTTCCGATGAAAGCTTGCACGCATCCATCCATGGCTCATCTATTAATCATCGGCTATGTCACATCGACGATCACGTTTTTGATGATTCACCTCGCCGTCATGGAAAAGCCATCGTGTCTTGTCATATGTGTACAATCAATCACGGTAGCAGGATTTCAATTTCATGACAGGACCCCGAACCAGAAAACGGGCTTGAATTATGTTTCCTATAAAAGAAATCACCACGTATAAGCCGTTTTCCACCTGATCCTGATTTATCAGCCCTTGACGCCAAGCATGTACATATGTGCGTCATAATAATAAATCCGTGCACAGCTGCCAGGGTACGGTATTACGACGATTCAAAATCTATACAGTGATCGGAGCATGTCATGTTTATTATAGGTCATGTAGAAGATGGTAGTTAATCTCTGGAAAAAAATAGGACAAATGGTCTGCAGCTTGCTGCGTTCATAGTCCGATCAGCAATTTTTCGCTTGCGCTTGCCTCAGCCCAGTCATATGGCTTCGTGGAGTCTTTATTTTCGAAGGGACTCCTGGTGAAAAGAGAATAGTTAACACGGNTTCTGATAGAACCTGAAGCCCCATCGATAGCCATCTTGGATAGGTGGAGCAGTATCTGTGCAGGTCACCCGAATGCATTGCTTGGGTTGGTGAATATTTTAGGGAATATTAGTGCCTCCTGCCCAGATCACGAACAATATATCGATTCGTCAGGAAGGAGCAAACAAGAATCATCATATTTTTTGAAAAATATTCTGGCGATTTGAGAAAAAAATTTAAAAAAAAAACTGATGTAAACAGTGGCGTAACTTCGACGCTGACTGAGCTGACTTTTTTTGAATGCTTTTTTTAATAAACGGTAAGTTCAACTAGCTATAGGCGTCTTGTTCAAATAGAAACCCTTTTTAGTAAGTAAAAATCGGGAATCTTCGGCTTTTCAACACTGAACTCATGAAACCCTCAAAATTTGCCATGCCCCAATCATTTTTGGTCATTTTGGTGAACTTATTTCCAAAGTAGAGGTGGATTTTATCTGCCAAAAATTGACCGAGAAATCAATATATTGATTTTTGTGGAGCTGCGAATAACACTCATGAAGTATCGTTTACATCCTTAAGTTTTTCTGGAAATCGATCCCAGCCATATTGATGATGCCAGAAAAATCGCAACTCATGTGCAAAGCTACTGCGTCAAACTAGCATGCTCAACAGATCTGATCTCATCTGTTCATAGTTCCTGCTGGACTTGCCCCATGCCTCTTTCGATCCTTCATTTCGTTTGATGAGATGTTTCATTCAGGAGTTCTTTTATTTGGGAAATTCAGAGAACTTTGTGGGTTGGTCACGTAAGTAAGCCAATTCCGTCTGTCTTAGAGGACACCCAAAAAAAACTGCGTTGGCCTATGTAAAAAAATCCTTTAAACTAGTGAAAGAGGATCTGCCGCCGCCTAAAAGTCTGCCATGGCTGGCTCGGTGTCTGGCAGCTGTTTGAGCTGCGGTCTCATCCTCGAAATAGCAACTTAATTCCGTCGTCTGAAGCTAATTGCTGGCTATCGTTGGTCGACGTCCTGCAAACACATCCGACCCATGTTACAGCTCTTCTTTCCTATCAATTTTCGTCTCGCCTTTCATTAGACGTATTGATTCGGTAGAGAGGTTGCACGTCAGCAGTTAAGGGCGATTCACCCCTGAAAATGCCCTGCGAACGAGAAGTTGCTCACGTAGATGGAAGTGAAATGTTGTTAATTGAGAAGGTCTCTGGGTGGCCTTTGATGGCAGAAGTGTTTTCGTCTCGTTGTCGTCATCATAACTTCGAGGACATGCGAATCTCGGCTAACGAGATTGAGCAGTAATAGCTGGATGATGAGAAATTTCGAGAGATTTGGCCTTTTTTGGGAATTTCCTCTGAAGAAGTGCCCTGTTGGGCAGCTTCACTTAGGCAGGGTAATAGGCTGAGCAAGATGTTCCAACCCCCAGCTCATACATCTTTCGGGAAAGGCAGTTAGATGCTGAAAGTGCAGAAGGGTATCAGGTTTTGTGTTCAAAAGCATCTTCCGACATAGTAAGGGGTGGGATAGTAGTGCGAGGATGAGAAAGCGTAAGTGCAGGGTGTTCCGTCATTGACGAAAAAAAGCCCGAAAAAAATTCCCCCCGAAATCTCTTGGATGTAGCCCTCAGCATGGCCTTGGATTGTACGAATTTCTAAGGAGCTCGCACGTCTGCGTTTAAATGTTTGGAGCAGAGTAACGCCGAGATAACACCGTGAGTGAAGGAGGTTAAGCCGTGCTGATTTCTTAAGGGCAGAGCTGCCGGTGGGGCATTCTTGACTGAAATTGGGCAGGATCATATTCGGGCAATGTTTCTTCATTGACAGTCACACCGGTTAGTGATATCTTGGGATGGGTATTCCCGTGTGAAGGAGCTTGTCAAAGTTTGGAGTGATAAAAGCATGGAAGGTGTCTTTTTTGGAATGCGCCCATGGTTTTGCCTTCCATTCAGAATTATAGTACCGTTTGAAAGCATGCCCGGCTCACGGAATGACAACGGTGGCTAGCAAACGTGGAAGATCCACCAAGATGGCGGAAGGATTGAACAGCCTGGGTGGATACCGACTGGAACTTGATGCCTGAACGTTTTTACTTTCGGTAACGCCTTCTCTTGGCACCTGTACCCTCAAACCTATCTCGTCCTATCTCTCAAGAGTGCCATAAAATATTCTACGGAGAAATAGTTCAGGATGATTAAAGATAGGTTCGATCCACTAGTCACACGTCTCTTGCTGTGACTTCTGCCACCAGACTACCATCGTGGTTTCTGGGGTGTTTCCTCAAAATCAGTGGTGTGGAATATGATTTTTCAGAAATACAGTACGGATACGTGGCCCAATCCGATTGAATCATTTACGGCTCCCGGGCTCTCATTTTCTCGCTTGAACCCGACGTAAAATCGGAGAAATTGCAAATAGGAATAGATAATTATCGACCTGAGGCGACGTGCAAGCGCCGACCATCGCTTGAATTCATCAGAGGAGGTGGAGGATGAGAAAAGACGGGAATAGCCGGTACATATCTGATGTCTTTCAAAGATTGTCAGGCATGACGCAGACTATAAACACTGAGACTGCGACTATGTACGGTCCTGTTTGCGATAGTTACTACATGACTATGTTATTTGGGTAAATCGCTACCCAAA